GAGGTCTGAGTGATGGCAGTGACTGCGACGTCCCAGAGGGCTTAGTTCTTTTGTTCTTTGCCAGATCTCGGTAGACCAGAATAAGAAGCCTGCCAGCGTATGCACTATCAAACAGACAACATGTGTGGTCATCAATTAAGCAAAATTATGCCACTTCACGCCTGTCCAATGGTTGACGAGAAACCTAATTTGACGTGATAGTCATTGCAGTTAACAACTATGATTCCGCGGTTTCAAAATAGAGCCAAGGATGTAGAATCGGCCGATAGTTGATCGAAAACGAAAGGCATCCATCGGCAATTACCATGTTCAACCGAGAGTCTCAATGACGACATCGAAAACGTCTGAAAAAAACGCATTTCATTGCCACACTAGACTACGGAGTCATTTGTTACAAACGTCCGGTTCTCGAACATCGAACTGAATCGCAGAATCCGCTAACGCGTGTGATCGATAAAGCTATGTCGTCCAATATGACAGATGTAGTAATCTTTCTCGGACATGGTCCTCTTAGAGACTCGAAAACCTTGCCAGCTAGTCGATGCGCGACACCGACCGTGCTTTGACAAAACAGAGGATATTTTCTATTTTAAACCTGCTACTGCTTTACAACAACGACTACGGAGGTAGAGATTTTGAGCAATACCATCACCCTCATCACCAGTTGTTTTCTGCTGTTTAATGGGCATGATTGAGATGCCATGATAAGACCCGGAATGAGACGCTTTGGCTCAGTTATTCGGAGGCAGGTCGCTGGATGCTGTAGCCACTCGGTCCTGCAGTCGGCGCATTGAATCTGTATAACTGGACAGCGGTCAGATGTATCATTTGCATGCTTCCGTCATCGTATTATACATCAATGGATAGCTCTCTGTGAGTGAAGTATGATACCATATGAAATTAGTGGATTTCTTGTCACAGTTCGATTCTGATGCAAGTACGTTAGCGCGTAGTCTGTGATCAGGAGTTTCAAGCTATTATTGGCAGATGCTCATCTATCGATGATTTGACTTCGTCCTTTATATTGCCTATCAATGGTAAGCTTTCTGCGAGTACAGTGCGATGCTATTGTGAAACTGTGATAATGCCGATAATTTTCATTTTATTTTATGATTCCATCGTGAAGAGTCTGTGAGGTTGCCAACTCACGCGCTGTTATTAGATCCAGGATATCAGCTAATATAATTTGCAGGTGATCATCCGTATCACTTACTTGATATAATCTCTCACGTTATGCATTCCTCGACAGCCTTTTCTAAACAAAACGTGAAGCCTCCGTCATAAGTATCAACTTCAAGGTTGGCATCTTCGTCCAATGATTTCATCGTTACAAGTTCTGCAAGGTCATTGAATCGGCGCGTGTCAACATTTACATTGAGAATTACGTGCTGTAATCAGTGGAACTTTCGGAAGTGTATCATTCTTTTCATTAAGATGCATATAGCGAAATAGCGCAATTCTTAAGTGTTACCACAATACATAATTTGCATATAGCTTTAAGACGGCAATTCGTTTACGCTATTCTCACATACTGTTACTACGTGTCATTCATTGTATTCCACCAGCCTGTTAACTAAAAACATAATAACATTATCAGTTTCTTTCATAGAATTTTAATCTATGAATATCAGCTAAATAAAACAGTCGAAATTCAACAAGAAGAACTAAAACAAAGCCAAAATTAAATTCCCTCATCAAAAAACAACAGTAGTACATTTCTGCGACATTTCCTAGTTGTGCCTTAATCCACGATGATAAACATAATCTCCGTATTATGATGGTATTTCGCAATAGGTTTAATTCTTTCATAGATATTTATTAACTAGACTGGGAGTTGATGACCGGCAGCAAGTTGTTAGTAGTATATTTGCCGGCCTTTCTGCACTTTGCGAAGCCCGTAAATTAGCTTTCTTATCTGCGTATGTTACATTTTCAGCTCGGTCAGAACTTGTCTATGGGCTGACTTTGGATGGTTATTCGTACGATCTTTACTGTTGATCACTCGAGAAACAATCGCCCACATTTCTGATGGAAACAACGCCGGACGTCTTGCATTTCTTCTTCGAACCATCCAATAAGCAAGATAAATTCGTTGGCATGTTCTTCAGCTACTCTGTCGCTCGCTTGATGTAGTACAGCAAGAGGTACGAACGTCAACGCTGTCATCATCATTGCTTTCAAGGCGAAATCAGCATCGACTTCATGAACATCGAGTTACTGCAATTCGCCCAGATGCTTCTCCAGAATGCAGTTGCAATTGAGACGTTAAAAAAACCATTAAGCTTAACACCTGGGAACGTGTTCTTCATTGCGTACATCTGTGCAATGTTGAGATCACGTGTAATGGACTCCGGATGAACTTCTGACAGAGCTGTTTTCATTTAAAAGAACCTGTTGTAAGTAGCCTTTCACCTGTTTGGCTGCCAAAAGCATGTATAGAATAGGATGGGCTCTAGCATGCCTTTCCACCAGCACTGTATAAATTTTCGAAAACTATGTCGGTATAGGTAAAAATGTTCCATCTACAACCCACTTTCTCGACTGCTGCAAGATGTGCAGGTTTTTTTGTGCGCCAAGAATCAGTATTTGATTAGGACCATGTCCACTGTCGCCAACCATGTACTGTTCAGATGCCTTATGCTGTGACTCGTATCCGTTAACAGGTTCCCGAAGAACCAATGTTTCTAAATTCAGCGGAACTGGTGCAATATGTTTCTTAAAAGCAACGACGTTTTGAAACGAAACCTCAGCTCCTTGCAAAAGGCAAACTGCATTTGTTAATGACTTGCACGAACTCTTTCATACTTTCTTTGATACTGTTTTCAATTCTGATGACAAATTCGAATACCTACACATCAGCTGTGGAACTGTAGTAAGAGTGTTCACCAGGTTTCATAATAACGTCATACCTGCCGTGTGATTCCTTGCCTTACAATGAAATGTTTTGCTCACAGCATTAAAACTTAGTTGTTCCTTCGCTACTCTTCCTGTCGAATAAGTAATAAAAGCCTTCTAAAGAAAATTTTACCGATCGCGTTGTGACATCAGGATTGTCATCCCCATATACTATATCTCTCGGCGCTCTGTGACCGTAAAGATGTCAACCTTGGCTTACGGTTAGCGGTGATAAAATCGCAGTAGACCGAATTCTATTGGCTGTGGAACTGGATAGTTAAAATTCCTTGAAATCGATTATTCGATCATAGTTTCCCAGAATGTTCATAGAGAACTGACTAGCCATCGGACGAAGAATAAGACAAAGAATACACAAAGGGGATTGAAGTAAATGTCAGCAAAGGACAAGATTTCAATTCTCGTATCAATGGCTGTCCACCTACTTCTGACCTGATACCACAACCATGATGAAATCGTGAAATAACATGGAGTTTTCTGAATTGACAAATTGGACAATCTATTAATGGATGAATGATAGTTAAATGAAACTCTCGTCCTTCTGTTTATTAATCAGTTAAATGAATTCATCTAGCAACTGGTGACTAAGCGCGCTGATTTATAATTAGCTCGCATCATAAAGATACAGTAATTGTTGAACAGGATTTGGGAATTGAGCGTTTTGACAAAATTTTCTTATTATGCTCAGAGAAAACTTTTTATTGACATGCTACAAGGAAACAAAGAAATGCTTCTGAAGGTTCCATAAATTTAAACTGGGGTTGTTAAAGTTAGCAGTGTCGCTTGCCGATTTGAGGACCTTACCGTAATAGTCGCTGTGAAATGATCAGACGAAGATGCCAACTTTGAAGTTTCATGTTTGCTTCCAAAAAGCATCTTTCGAGGGATGTCTAACGCAAGGGAATAAACCAAGTAATTTTTACGGATGACCACGTGCAGTTATTATATTAACTGAGACTCTCGACTAAAGAACAAGGCTCTGACTTAACGACCTCCTGCAGTCACCACGATGGAATCATAACATAAAATGAAAATCATCGTCACTATTGTTTGACAACGGCGTCGCATTGTTCTCACATACAGTTTCCATTGATAGGCAAAAGGGTGGGTGAGGTGAAATCATTGCTAAAGCTGACTATCTGCGAAGGACATAAATTGAAACTCCTGATTGAAGAGTGCATCCTGACGTAATGGTATCGTACGATGGAACTGTATTAAGAAATTCAGTAGTTCCGCATCGGCAGCGTATTTAACTGAAAAACAGCTATCGCGTTGAGATATAACGTGATGGAATGAATTTCGTAATTGATGCAACTGACCATTGTCCAGTTACTCGGATTCATTGCACCAATTGCCGGACCGAGGGCTGACATCGACCAGCGATTTGCGCCAGTGCATCATTAATTCTCCGAGCATATGGTTTTGTTCACGCCAATATTCCATAACGTCGGCATCACTGATTTTTGGAAGGGCATTATTATTACCTTTTGTACTGATTTACGCGAAACGTATTACGTTGCCTTCCTTTGCAGAAATGTTTGCAGAACGAGGTTTCGGCTCAATCCTCGGAGACCAGACAGTGACCGCAATAGGGATTAAGTGTCAGCGTGGTGTGCGACAGAGAATATTGTTTCCAACTGTAGCAGTGCTTTTAACAGGCTTTGTGTTAAGGTTGTCGAAAGCTGGCAATGACCAGTGCATGAAGTCGTTTCGTAAGGCTAAGTATTTAGGTGATTAACCCTCCTCCTCCCGTTGGACGCTGGCGCCGTTACACCGTAGCAAATTCCCGCGCTTCTAGTGACCTTTTTTCTTCCCCTGTTGTTGTGTTTCCTTTCTTCTGTTTGAGTTGTAGACTCTTTTCTGTCTGATTCTTTTCTTTAATCATGGACAGTCTCCCTCAGTCATGCAAAA